CTTCCTGTCCTTGCTGCCCTATGTTCTGTGGATCTGGAAATCTTAGTCCCAAAGGGAGAAACTAGAAATTAAGAATGCCACCAAGCCATTTTGGCTTCCTTATGCCTCTGGATCAACAGACAAAGAAGAGCATTACTGTACTATCTAGTGTGATAGATCCGGATTACCAAGGGGAAATTGGACTGACGTTACATAATGGAGGTAAAGAAGAATGTCTGGAATACAGAGATCCTTTAGGATGTCTCTTAGTACTATTATGCCCTGTGATTAAAGTCAATAGAAAATTACAGCAACCCAATTCTGATATGACTGCTAATGGCCCAGACTCTTCAGGAATGAAGATTTGGGTCACCCCACCAGACAAAGAACCATGACCAGCTGAGGTGCTTGCTGAGGGCAAGGGAAATACAGAATGGGTGGTGGAAGAAGGTAGTTCAGCTACTACCACGTGACCAGTTACAGAAACGAGGACTGTGATTGTTATATTTCTTCATTGTATATGTGCATCAAATATTTTTGTTTCCGTCTGCTATGAACTGTGAAATGTAAATAAGGTTAATGCATTTTGGTTGTACATGTGTTAGTGTATTGTGTGAGGCTCAAATATAACTTTATAATTGTCCTTATTTAGAGATTATATAGAGAATTATGGTTAAGAGGATGTATACAACTGACAAGTTGACAAGGGGTGGACTGTGAAAGTTGGAGCTGTGTGTCAACTTGGCTGGGCCACAATTCTGTGTGGTTCAAGCAACTGTGATGTGGGTTATTCCAATGATGGGATCAGATATATATCTTTTGAGCAGCCAGTCCATTGAAAGGGAGTTTTCCTAGGGGTGTGGCCTGCTTCCAGTGTATTTATGGACATCCTGGGAAAAGAGACACTCTTCTGTGGATTGGGATTCTGTTGTGCTGCATACAACTATCCGTGAGTGAACAATCCACCATTCGGCCTGGAGATCTTGGATTTGTCATTCGTTGAAGTCAACAGCCAGTATACTGCTTGCCAACCTTGAGCTCCTCAGCCCCTGCAGCTGTGTGAGTTGGGAAAAGCCTCCAGCTTGAAGTTTGCCAGCTCTTTAAGTGTTTGAGCCATTGCCCTAAGATAGATTTCTCTTTCTCTATATAAGCTTTACTGGTTTTGTTTCTCTAGAAAACCCAGAGTAACACAGGCTGTAACTCCATCCCACTGGCTCACGTGAACAAGCAGCCCCACCCTCCAGAACCAATTTGGTGAATGTCTGGCTCTTTGAAAGTTAGGGGGCTGTGGTGGTTCCATCCGCAAAGGCCATGGTCCTACCCTTGATGTTGAGACAGCTCTACTTCCCATTTACTTGGTCCCTCTGCTACTCCATTTCAAGCTGGTTTCTTCTACAAGTTAATGCCTGAAGGCAACCCACTCTGCCAGGAAACCGCCTACCCAGTGGCCCCCAGCTTTCTCCTCTGTGGGTTGGTAAGCCTGTTGCTGTTTCATGCCGGTCTCTGGGCTCTGCTACTGCCGTCTCTCATGCTGGTCTCTCAGTTCTGTTCCTGATGTCTGTCATGCCTATCTCTTGGCTCTACTTCTGCTGTCTGTCATCCCGTATGCCAGGGTCTCTCTGCCAGGGTCTCGGGTCAAGGACGCACTCCACTCCTGTTTCCAGATTTTAGGTATCCATCAGAGCAGCACCCCACTCTCAGTACCATAATCTGTTCTGATTACCTAGTGCCACTCTGACAAGAATATATCACAAATGAGATGGCTTGAAAAAACAGGAGTTTATTCTCTTACAGTTTGGAGGCTTGAAATCAAAGTGCCAGACTCTAGGGGTTGGGTGAAAGCCCCTCAACCTTGGGCTTCAACTCTGTCTCCTGCTTCCGGCCCACTGGAGCTAGAGGCTTTTCTTCACTCAGACAGCTACTGGCTGCTGAGACTGACAAGCCCAAGGTTAACAAGTGAAAAGGCACAGTCCCAATATTAACAAACCACATGGCATTCAAGTCCATTGAAAGTCCCTAGTCAGCAGGGCATGGCAGACTCCTGAGCAATGACACGGCTACCTGCAGGGTTGAAGCGTGCCAAAAGCTAGAGACCGTTCCCAAGGTTCTCCTTATATACAGGAAGCAGACCACATCCCTAAGGTAGCCACTCAGCTGCTCACAGTAGATTCCACCATGGAGTTGATTACCAATCTCATCATAGAGAATACTACATCCAGCTGCTAAGCCACTCAACCAGGCCCAGCCAAGTTGACACACAGACAAAACTGCCACACCTGCTTATTGCCTTGCATAAGAAACAGAACCATGCCAATACAACAAAGATCCTTGTGCCCCCATGTTCAAAATCCAAACATTTGCTTCTGTCTAAGGATAGCCACTGTTTTGAGCAAGGGTACATCCAGGTTTCGTGGGTCCTAATTATTATACCACTTGTGATTGGTATGCAGATCTTTAAGAAAAAACATATGAAATTATAAATTCCAGTTTAGGTATAGAATCTTGGAAGGCCCCATACAAATGAGGTCTCTGAAGTGTAAGCGTTGCTTGTTTATATGAAATGTTCAGAATAGGCAAATTCATAGAGATAGAAACTAGATTAGTGGTTTCATGGATAAAAAGGCAGAGATGGAGAATAGAAGATGAGTACTCATGGTTTTGGAGTTTCTTTATGGGGTGATACTAATGTTCTGGGATTAAATAGTGGTAAATATACTAAAAACCACTAACTGTACACTTTTAATGAGTCGCTTTTGTGGTATGTGAATTATATCTAAATAGAACATTTAAGAAGACATATTTAATGTTATTGAGGATGTGGAGAGATTAGGACTCTTATACATTTCTGTATATGAGTAAAATGATACACCCACTGTGGAAAGCAGTATGGTGATTCCTTAAAAAGCCGAAATTAGAAATACCATTTGAACCAGCAATCCCATTACTAGGTATATATCCTAAAGAAGTGAGAGTCAGGACAAGAACAGATATATGCACACCATATTCATTGTAGCACTATTTTCAATAGGAAAAAGATGGAAAAAATGTATGTGCCCATCAAAAGAAGAAATAACCAAACTATGGTACATTACACACAATGGAATGCTATGCAACACTAAAGAATAATGTAGAATCTGCAAAACATTGCATAACAGGGATGAACTTGGAGGACATTATGCTGAGTGAAAGAAGTCAGTCACAGAAGGACAAATATAGTATTAGTTCATTATTGTAAAAAGTCAAGGAAAGGTTTATATATGGAAGAAAATTTTCTTTGTTAGTTACCAGGGGTGAGAGGGGAAGGAGGGAACACACACACAGAAAAAATGCATTGACCCCTGTCACTGTAGTTTTGTGTATTTCACTGTACATAAATTATATTTCAATAAAATGTGTTTTTTTAAAAAAAGAAAAAGACCTATTTAAGGACCCGGAGTCCCTAGGTGGTACAAATGGTTAATGCATTCAGCTGCAAACCAAAAGGTGGAGGCTCAAGTCCACCTCGAGGCCCCTCAGAAAAAAGTCCTAGAGAACTGCTGACAAAAAAAAATATATCAGCCACTGAAAACTGTATGGAGCACAGTTCTCTGATATACTTGGGGTCACAATGGCAACTGGCAGTGGTGGATATTTAAGTAACAGAGACACCACTCTATGTAGCCAGTAGTTACAAAAATGAAACAATTTCATGATACTGTTGATGAGAATGTAAATTGCAACATGACTGCTAACCAGAAGGCTGGCAGTTCAAACCCACCAGCCACTCCTCAGAAGGAAGGTTGGGCAATCTACTTCCATAGTGATATCGCCTCGGAAACCCAAGGAGGGGTTGCCAACGGCCATAACAACAACAACAACAACAACCTATACTCATATAGACATAAATAACCAAGTTACACAGAGTTATTTGTTTTTGCAATTGCATAAAAACAATTTTAGAAACAGGCTATTCACATAGTCCCTGGGTTACGTGAGTCTGACTTAAGGACAACTTCTGCTTGCCCTTTAAGGTATGTCAATTTGTCCTCACTTTGAAATGATTGAACCAACCCCTACTCCCAACCAATTCTTCATCACAATCGCCCTCACTTGTTGCTCCTGAAGCTTTTAAATCATTGAAAAGTCATTGAACCTTTTCTTAAGGCTAAATAAAACTCATCTCCAAATTCTATCTAAATACACAGTTAGGATTGGATCTCATTCATAACCTGGGAACTACCTGTATGTCCCTTATCAGAAGAGCAGTTAACTGTATTACAGAACATTTACATATTAACTGGTTACTGTTCAGTCTTTTAAATAGTGCTTTATATTGCTTATATAATTTTTCAAACTAAGTAAGACAGATAAATACCCTTTCTTCACTGATCGACATGGTTAGGTTCCAAAGACCAGGTCATTGTGGGAAAATCAGCATTATGTGATAATGGAGGATAGCCACATCAGATCACAAAATGGAGAATTACTGCATCATTACATAACTGCCAAACCACTGAGAATCATGGCCCAGCCAAATTGACACATAACCTTAACCATCACAACCAACATTACTCTCGCATGGCACCTCAGCATTCGTTGCCAGATGTACAATGTTAATGGGATAAATAGCCAGATAGTAGATTTTTTACTGTTGTAAATGTGGTATGTCAGATAATGAAGTGGTTGATAAGTGAGGAGAGTGTGCACCTTTAAGGTGTCTCCAGTGTTTTATAGGACAAGATTCTAATTGTGTAATAATATTATAATTTGAACAGTATGTATAATATCTGGTTCGTATGAGTAAAGTGAATAAATGCATGTGATTACATAGGCATATAGAACACACAGACATATTTTAAAGAAATGTAGAGCAATTAGCCCTGAAAATAGGATGGCAGCAATTGGAGGTGGAGGGGAAGGAGAGGTCTTGAGGAAAAAGAAGTAGATTTTCTTTTTTTACTATCTTATTAACTGGTTTTCTCAAAGTACTAATATTTACTTGAAAATATCACAACATATTAAATATAATTTCTTCATTACAGCTTTTCATGCAAATTGAAGCTCTCTTCCCACAAAAATTTGGAACATGGACTGAGTATTCCAAAAGATACTGTAATGCACATATCAGGTAAGATAAACTATTTTCTATAAGCTTTATATATCACATTTAATATGAACATGTTAATTTATTAGTTATTCTTTGGTACACTGTTTTTCAAACTTGTGTTAGCTGTGGAATAATTTCTTGAAATAAATTCTTATGTAAATGACCTATATATAAAATAAAGAAATAGATAATGGCAAAGCTTTTCTTTCTTTCTTTTTTTTTTTTATTTTTGTTTTAACAAGCAGAAATTTATTTTCTCACAGTAAGGAGGCTGAAAGTCTGAATTCAAGGCACCAGCTCTGGGGGAAAGCTGCTCTCTATGTCTCTCCTTGTGTCTTCAGCTTCCATTTCTTGGCTCCTTAGTGATCTTCATATGGCATGGTGTCTCTCTTCCCCCATCTCTACTTGCTTGCTTGTTTCTTTAGGCTCTTTCATAGCTCAAAAGAGACTGAGTTAAGACATACCATGCACTAATACTGCCTCATTAACAGCACAACCCATTCCCAAAAGGGATTTACAACATATTTTTGGAGGGCACAAGTGAACCATAGCACCTGAGGACCCAAAAATTTTGCTCAGAAACTTGCAACTGTCAGGTTCTTGGTGGTCCTCCCTCCTTTCTACCTCTTCCACCCCCAGTAATCTTGCATTCTCCTGCCTATCATATTGGGCTGCAAGCTATGCTGGTGATGATCTGAGTGTCAAGGGGGCAAGAGCTGGGAAATCTCATGCAGGGTTTAGGTTTTCTGCATGGGCCATGTTCTCCCCCTCCATCTTGCTCTATACTTACGTGTCTCTCCCTCCAAGTAACATCCCTGGGTCTCAAAGCTCAAGACACTTGGGTCTTTCAGTTCCAGGGAAATATGCCAGGCAAGTTCTTTGGTAATACCTTCTGTCTGATTTCTCTGTTCTGGCTTGTTTTTTATTCTTGGACTTTTTGTTACATTTTGGGATCTAATTTAGCTCCCCAAATGTTAATTTCCTAAAGTTCTTTCTTGTCTGCAGTTTCTCTTTTCTCTTGTCTAGACTTGTTTTTCCTTTCCTTTCCTTTCTTCAAGCATACTTATGTTTCATAGGAACACTGATGGCATATTGCCTAATGCATTTCACTGCTAACCAGAAGGCTGGTAGTTTGAACCTACCAGCCACTCCTCACAAGGAAGATTGGGCAATCTACTTCCGTAGTGAGCCTTCCTTGGAAACCTAAGAAGGGGTTGCTATGAGTCGTATCCTACTCAACGGCAGTGAGGTTGGTTTTTTTTTTTTTTTTTAAATGTTTTAAGGATAGAATATCTCTGTTACAGTTAATAGTATTTTAAAAAAAAAAAAAAAAACTGACATGAGAAGAATTTTTTTTCCTTCACCCAGGTAAACATGTGTCTACTTTCTCTCACTGCCATTGAGTCAGATCCGACTCATAGTGACCCCTCCTTGGGTTTCCGAGGTGGTATCACCATGGAAGTAGAGTGCCCAATCTTCCTTCCAAGAGCGGCTGGTGGGTTTGAACCACCAGCCTTCTGGTTAGTTAGTGGTTTATGCCCATTCCCCACCCACCACTGATAACCATCAAAGAATATGTCATTTTGTAAAATCTTTTTTCTTGACTTTTTATAATGTAATCTCTTACAATATTTGTCCTTTTGTGATTGACTAACTTCACTCAACATGATGGCCTGTAAGTTCACCCATGTCACGAGATGTTCTACAGATTCATCATTGTTCTTTTATGTTGCATAGTATTCTGTTGTCTGTATGTACCGTAGTTTGATGATCCATTCCTCCAATGATGGGCATTTAGATTGTTTCCTTCTTTTTGCTATTGTAGAATAGTTCTGCAGTGAACATGAGTGTACATGTATCTGTTTGTTTCACAGCTCTTTTTCTCTAAGATATGTACTTAGTAGTTGGATTGCTAGATTATATGGTGTTTCTATTTGCAGCTTTTTAAGGGAGCACCATACCATTATTCCACAGTGGTTGCACCATTTAACAGTCCCATCAACAGTGTATGAGGGTTCCAGTCTCTCCACACACTCATCAGCATTTGTTGTTTTTTTTGAAGTTTGCTATTAATTCTAGGGTGAGATGATATCTCATTGTTGTTTTGATTTGCATCTCTCTAATGGTAATGATCATGAGCATTTCTTCCTGTGTTTGTTAGCTACCTGAATGTCTTCTTTGGTGAAGTGTCTGTTCGTGCCTCTTCCCATTTTTTAATTGGATTATTTGTCTTTCTATTGTGCAAAGTTTTTCTTTCTTTTTCTTTTTCTTTTTTTTTTTGTGTGTGTGTCTCTACTTAATTTTGAAATTACTGAATTTATTTTTATTGATTAGATAAAGTGCACACTGGACAAAAGTGAAAAGTAAGTGACCCTTCCATCCCTGTCTCTCAGCCAAGTATTTCCCTTCCCTGGTAACCAATTTTGGCATTTTCTCATGTTTCATTCTAGAGTTACTTTATGTGTAAAGAAACACATGTGATTACATGCTAAAGGGGCAGGGAGGCAGCATCTTCTGATCTCCTCTAAGTTCACAAGAGGAAGACAGCATAAGAAGCAGCCCAAGGCCTCTTAAAAAGTCAGTTGTCTAGAACAATTAACCACCTGAGATCAAAAGGGCAACATTTGCCAAGACATGCTGCCACTCTCCAGCCCTCTTACCAACCTTGATACTAACCACCCCTCCCACAGTACCCACCACCACTCTGCTGGGTTCAATAGTTCACTGCAGTGGCCACACAGAATTCACAGATTATGGGGTTTATTAGGGAAGCAACAGGCTACAATTCAAATTCAGGAACATGCTCAGGATACAGTTCTTTGGTCAGGACACTCTCCCCTCTGCTGTGCCCTTTGACATGCCTCTCTGGCCTTGGCTTCTCAGCCTGGCCTCTACCTCTGCGGGCCAGGTAAGCCTGCTACTCTGTCTCATGCATCTTGGTTCCACTGCTGCCGTCTCGGCTGGGCTTCTTTCAGCTGGGCATCTTTCTCTCAGCAGCGTGTCTCTCTCAGCAGCGTAACTCTCTCAGCTGGCAGTCAGATTCCTTCTGCCTTTAGAAGGGCTCATTTTGAGCCTGGCAGAGTGGCAAAACCAACCAAACCCAACATTAGAGTTCTACACACCTGAGAGAAAGCTAACTTTCCCAGAAGATTACTTTGTGCTGCTCCAACAGAAATACATCAGGTGGATGACTTTAACAATCAAGAGTTTAAAAGCAGCTACTTATAGTAATCTGGTGGGAGTTACAAAGACTATGGATAAAAAAGGCATACCATGTAATTCACTACATTGCCTTAAACATATAAAATATTATTTTACCATATATAGTAGCATAATCTATACATTCAGCAGTTTGCTTTTTTCACCATATATACAATGGAGATCTGTCATATCAGTTCCTGAAAGAACTTAGGTAATCTTTTTAAATGCATTTTTGTATTTTATGCATTTTTCTAAATCATGCTCCATGGAAGTTGTATCTATTTAAATTTCCACTAGCAGTGTATAAAACTGTCTGGTTTCCTTGCACCTTGCCAACATGTTAAAATAATCTATTTCATTCTTGCCAATCTGATAGTAGTTTTAATGTACATTTGTCTTAATATGCTATTAAATGAAATTGAGCATTTTTTCATACATTGAAGAGTTATCTGTATTTCTTTTTCTGCTGATTATTTGTATCTTTTGGTCTACTTTCTATTAACTTGATTGCCTTTTTTCTTATTAGTATATTTGAAATCTTTATATATTATTGGACATTAGCTCAGTCTGTGATGTGAATTGCTTGTGTTTATTTTCCAGTCTATTTTTCTTTTTTGTTTGTTTCTATAATTCCTCCAAGTGTTCATGGTGTTCTTATGCTTTTTAAAGTGTCCCAGAGTACAGAGATGGAAATAATCTTTCCAAATTCTTTGTATGAAGCTAGTCTAATGTTGATACCAAAATCAGACAAGATAGCATAATTGCAGAAATACTCAATATTAACAAGTAGAATTCCACAATTTGTAAAAATACATAATATAATTAACTATTTGCAAATAAAATTCGTATTAGGAATGCAAACATGGTTTAATATTAGGAATGTATTCACGTACTTTGTTGTTGTTGTTAGCTGCTGTCAAATAGGTCCTTACTCAGGACAACCCCACACACAACAGAAGGAAAGCTTATCCAGTGCTGTGCTGATGATTGTTTGCAGGTCAGACCATTGTGATCCATAAGGTTTGCTTTTTTAACTGATTTTTGGAAGTAGATTGCTAGGCTTTTCTTCCTAGTTTGTCTTTGTCTGAAAGGTTTGCCAAAACCTGTTCAGCATCATAGCAACATGTAAGCCCCACTAACAGGTGGTAGCTGCACATGAGGTACATTGACCAGGAATTGAACACAGGTCTTCCACATGGAAGGCAAGAATTCTACCACTGAACCACCACCCCTGACCCCCACATTACTATAATTAGCTATGTGCATTAGTTTTCTATGGCTGCTGTAACAAACTACCACATATTAGGTGGCTTAAAACATAGAAATTTAATTTCTTACAGTTCTGGAGGCTAGAGATCTGAAATTAAGGTGTCAGCAAGGCCATGCTTTCTCTAAAGACTCTAACAATCCTTCCTTGCCTTTTCCAGCTTCTATGGTTGTAGCCCTTGGCATTCTTTGGTTTATAGCTGTATCACTCTACTTTCTTTCTGTCTTCTTATGGTCATCTTTCCTCTGTTTCTGTGTCTTCACGTAAGGATACCAGGCTTGGATTTAGTGCCCACCCTTATCCATTATGAGCTCATCTTAACTAATTATATCTCCATAGACATTATTTCCAGATAAAGTCACATTCTGAAGTTCCAGGTGAACATGAATTTTTAGAAAACACTTCAACTCACAACACCAAGTTAGTAATGAGAAGGAAAAACTTACTTCTTCCTCCGCACAAATTATGAGAAGTCATCTAATTAAAGTTTTTAATAAATTCAGAGTTTATTATATACATATGTGTGTGTATAAGTACACAGTTAATGTTAAAA